GTTTTCTTGGCGCCGCATCAGTTTAATCCGGTAGAGTTTTAATTCTTTTGTATGTCTAATTGCTTCCTTTCGTTCTAATTGTTCAACATTCTCTTGTTCATCGTCCAATTCTGGCTGGATGTCTACATTACTTTTTATTTCTAGAGTTTTTCCTTTTTGTTCTTCGCAATTTTTTATTGAATTCATAACTGATTCTATTGACCACCCTTCTTGCGGTGATTCATCAAAACCTTCATGACTATCAATTTCGAAAGAATATTCGTCTCTCCATGAAAGATTCTCATAATATCTCTCGTCAGGATTTAAATTGTAATCAGATGAAATTTCATTAGTCTCTTCCAACATGATGTTAAAAGAAATAAACACAATTATTATCTCTATAAAAATTATGAAACTAATACTATATTACATTGATGGAAATTTTTATTATTTGTCAGGACAACCAACATTTTTGTTATCAATTTGTATCATATAAAAATAAAAAATATCAAACATACAAAATATATTAATTCATTTTTTTATTATTAACTCATTTATTACATTAAAAAACACAAACTATATTTGATTGAAGACACTGCCTTTTAAATAAGTAAATTTCATATATTGTTTCATAGAGTAAAAATCTTGAAAAAACTATTATCGTTAAAAAAAAAAATTCAACTACTAGTGTTAGTAGGTAATATATATTTGATGTTTCAAGGCCAATGCTTTTTATATGTATAGATATAATAAACCAATCGTTTACATTAAATAACATACTTTTGTTTACTCAATAGTTCACTTTGTATCACGAAAGACAAAATGCTTAGAAAAGATACTACTGGAAAAAATTAAACAGATAAATAACTAAATTTGGTACGTCTCATTTTATAGGAGAATATATTTTAGAATATAAGTATAACATAAACACACTTTTATCAATCATTGTCGCATTACGGCTATTTTTGCATGCTTATTAAATTAACAGTTACCAACACAACTACCTTTTCACTATACTTACTAAAAGACGGATAAGACCAAAAACTAGCCAGCACGCACACTAATTGTTAAGATCGACTAAAGGATCAACTTTAATTCTAGCCGCATACACACACACATAATTTTAATAACATGGTGGATATAAAATATTTACACCAAGTGCAGGTTTTTGAATAGTTATTTTTTATTTACGAAACGTAATAAACACAAAATCCAATTACAATATAACAATGTAATACAATATAAATTAAGCCATTCAAAATACAAAGTTTCACGCACTAATTTAGCCCTGACCCGTAACTAGACTTTTTTTAGCCAAAACGTCAAATCGCCCATTACTTTGTTTGTTTCCCTTCATATATTATTTTTCCCACCATTATTAATTTTGCTTACCCTGAATTTTTTCTTTATATAAGACTATTATTTTACTTTAAAATTTAAAAATTTCTTACTACTGTGTTAAAAACTTATACTATACTAATATCAAAGTTATACATTCTCAACGATTTACTACAAAATCTATTACAAAGTTAATAATACAACCATTCTCAAAAATATTTACTTTCTGATTTAATAATAATATACCAAGAAATTACAATTATATTACAATTCAACCGAATATTATAATATTAAATAAAATTTATACTACCAGTTATAAAGATAATAGACTATATTAAAATGACCTCATATTTAGTTATTAGAATAAATAATTAACTATAAATAATTTGTAATAACTATAATTTGAGGACTTTGAATTTGAATTTTGAGTGCACAATTATTATTTATTTAATTACTATTTTATGAGCCACCCCTGCAAAATTAAACGTATTAAGAAAAACATAGATTAGAGAAACGTAGGATAATTTTGTAAAAAGCTCATAAATTCTGTACGTACTTTTATTTAGAGGTTTTGTCGTACGCCTATCTAACCTTTTAATAATTTCCGTCATTCTGAATATCCAAAAAAATCTCCTTGACTATTTTGTACTGTCGTATCACTTATTAGTTTTACAAATGAATGGAGTCCTTTAGGTCCTAACTGACTCCACTATAAACCTTTTCTTAAAGTCTTTAAGGTGCTTCAACTATAAAACTTTTCTCTTATAACACTACTAAGGGGTATACTCATCGACTGTCAGCCGTAACCCAAAAGAGTAATAAGACCAAGGGTACTCGACTATTACCAGCACAAATTACTCTTTAGATTACTACCAAAGACGTGTTGTTTAGAGACCTAGTTGTATTATAAAGAGACACTTCTTGTGCCTTAACTTATAGTAAACAATATGAAACGTATAAAACAAAGATACGCTTAAAGTACTATAAATCAATGCATAAAAAAAAAAAAGACTTATGTCAAACACGTATAACACAAAAAGAGATAACCCACGGTGCTCCCGAGGTACTCTATCCTTTACAATTTATTCCATTTCATCTTATATTCTAAAATATTTTGTTTTTCTTCTTTTTATGAATACAAAATTAATAATACAATCATTTTCAAAAATGTTTACAAATATTTATTTCCTGGTCTAGTAACAATAGATCAGGAAATTACAATTAATCCAAATATTACAAAAATGTTTTACTTCCAGCTTTATTAATAATAGACTATATTACAGTATGCTCTACAACACGACAGAACACATAAAATGTCTTGTATTTAAAACAAGAATGAAACACTTAACTAAACTTTGGCAAGATAACAGAAAAACACACATATAGGTTAACCTCAATAGTGATTACAGAATATTCTATAATCCACATTTTAAAAATACAATAAAATAATATCTTTGCGAACATAGTCTTCCACGGACAATTCAGATTACTCATTCTTAAATACTAATACCCTACTTAACTATGTATATACAAGTCAATGTTTAGAAATCATAAACAAAAAATAAAAACTGGATAAATGTACAACACAAGAATTAGTTTTATAATTTGTAATGGATAGAACTTTCTTAGTAATCCCAATGGCATTCTTTTAGTCTTTTGAAAAACTCTTTACCCGTTGTTTCCCAAAACAAACGCGTACATAATTTCTTGTAATGTAGTTTACTCGCGTAATTTTGACTACTAGGAATTAAAGCATTTATTTATATGTTTTCCATTGTTGTGGTCAAATCTCCTATTAAAAACAAACCTTACACTTGATACCACTAATTTTGAAGTAATCTCGACTGACTCATTTTAAGTTAGTACATTTATTAAAGTAAACAATCTGACAACTTTTTTATTGTTTTTTAGAAAAGGTTGTAGTGAATTTAGAGGTAGTAAATAAATAGTTAAAAAACATGAAGTTGGACTATAATTAAAAATATCAACACTGAACTAAAGCATAGAATGTTAAGTTATTTTGAGTAACTAATGCAGTTCTAAAATCATAATACATCAATGTATACTAAAATTAAATTTAAAAATGTATGCAATATAACAAAAATATAATAGACAAAAAAAAATAATTATCATATAAATATCAAATCATTACCATGCATTATAATTTCCAGGAATCTAAGTGATCAAAAATACAAGGTGTTTTGTATTACTACATTTATAAGAATATTAAATTGGAATTTAAAAAACAGTATAGTTAACTTTTCATTTATAATTAATTATGTTTTATCTACAAATAGTTCTACCTAACCCATAGTTGATTTTGTTATTTATATCTTCTATAAATTCTTAACTGTAGTACTGTTTACGGTTTTTTATTTGCTTTAAAACTCAATAGTTTGGTTTTGTCTTTAAAAATTTTAATTTTAGTTGATTGTATATTTTCCCTATATAATAAAGCCAAATAAATAAGTTAATAATGAAATTTTAAATTTGACAATACCTAGAATGTATGTTTTTCATAACATTCTTTCATAAATTTTTCAATACTCCGAAATTTGTGAACAATTAATTTATGATCCTCTTCTGATATTCTTTTTTGTTGGATTAATAGTTTAGTTGTTTTTATGAAAGTAGTGTCCTCTTTGTGAAATTCTAAATTCTTTTTAGAACTTGAAAAATATTTAGGCTCATATTCAAGACTTTTAATTTGGCTTTGAATGGTTTTAAGCAATTTTTCATTTTTATTATTTAAAAGGTTCGTTGAATTAAGTTGATGAGCCATAATAGATGAATACTACTAAATTAGTTATTATAAATGTTTCTTATTAATTAAACAATATTTTTATTATTGATATGTTTATAATTATTATTTTAATTTAATTAATTAATTAATTAATTAAATTAATATTTTTAACTATACTATTTAAATTTAAATTTTACAAAAGAAGTATTTTTAACACAATTTTGACTATCACATAATAAATTAACAATTAATTAATGAAAACAATTCTATTATCATATAATACTGTACTTGTCTTCTTTTTGTACAAGTTTTACGAAACCTAAAAAATCTTCTTTACATTATAAAAGTATCACAAAGCTTCCATTGTGAAACATACAAATACTTGATGAATTTTCATTTAATTTTATTTCTATTGTAATTGAAACAGTTTTTTTTACAAGATTTAACAGAAACATAGTCATTATTATTATAATTATTATTATTTTTTATTTATTGATTAACAAACTTGTAAAGTACTTAAGTAAACATAATTTTGTTCTAATTTATATACGTATTCGTTGCTATACTTTTAAACAATATATATCATTAAGTAGCTAATGGATATAATAATTCATATTAAAAATATTATAAATTAATATTTTTATATAGAAGATTTAAAAACTTAACAATTTTAGTTTGTGTAGTAATTTAATTTGTAATTTACTTAGTAGAACCCCACTCTTCTTTGCTAATTTCAGCAATGTTTTTCTTAATACGTTATCTGCGAGTTTTATTTTTAAAATTTATTTTTAATAGTTATTTAAGACGAAAAAAATATGCATTAGATAAGTTAAAGGGTAAAAAATCAAAAATATTCTTTTTAGACCGTTTCATTAATGTTTTTCTAAAGTATGTTTTAACACATCAGAAAATGAAAAATATTAACTGGGATATTTTTCAGTTTGGTGTGGTGTATATGGTTTGAAAAAATATGTGAAATCAAAAAGGAGAACAAAATGTTTAAACTTTTCATTATGATTAAAAAGTTACAAACAGATGGAACATTTCTTAACTTTGTTGTAAAATCAACAATTGGATTTATGAGTAAAATTTTTAATTAGATTTTACTTAGCAAACTTTTTTAATTTTTTATTGATTAATAAATGTGAGTAAATACATTTTTGAACTGAAATCATTAACTCAATCAATTTAATTTTTAACTTATTTTATAACTAAAGTTTAAATGATATTTTTTCTTTATCAACTGTACTTTATGCAATATTAATCATATATTGTTAATACAAATATAGGTGGAATTTTGTTGACCAAAGTAATATTCTTAGTTTTTCTTTTGCAATTAAATTACTCATACACAAAAGCAACAATATTGAGTTCTTTCATTGGAATCTTATTATCAATTGGATTAGCTTTCTCTACCGTGTGCAGGTATTGTTTCATATAATCAATTGTTTATCTTTTTTTAGAAATTTTTACAAAGTTCAAAAAATAAATTTTAAATAAGACACGAATTAAAAAAGGAATAAAAAGGAAAAGTGTTTAGAAATATCTAGAAACAATTATTTAATAGATACACGTATGAAGAAAGGTGGGTTATACGAAAAATGAATTTAAAAATGTGTTAATAGATGTAACAGTATTATTTTAAATATAAACATCAAAATATACAAACATAAGGTAGGAGTAGGGCTATAATAGAAATTATTATTTTTTACTTTATGACAGTTAAAATGTTAACAATTTTATTGCGTTATACGTTTTAAATAATTCAAACGTTGTTGATAATTTTTTTACCTTAAAAAGAATTAACCCGACACTGCTCTCACATGTGATAATTTCCATCACAGAGTTTTTATGATGATAAACATTGTCTTGCTCGTAGTTATATTTTCATCAAATTAATTGCATCTTAAAAGTTATAATTATTTATCAATAAAAATTCGTTTTCTATTTAATTTTATTTTTAGTTATGTTTAATGTTTTGTTTTATTTCATTTGAATTTATATGTTGTTTGTCTTTATTCATTATATGTGTTTTTTGCGTTTTACGATTCCAATCATTTTTGGTAGTTATAACGTTAGAATTAAAATGTCATTGAAATGGTTCTAGGCCTTGGGTAGGAGTGTAAAATTCTAAGATTCTCTGAAAATTATTTTGAAAAATATTCTGTGAAGGGTCTGCACAAAATCAAAATATACGTAAGGGTGCATTAATCTAAAATATTCCAAATACTTATTTATTAACATACAGACTCAATTAGGCCTATTAATGTTATAGGACATTCTATTGCAACAAAATAGTTTACAAAATGATCAATTTATAATAATGGCGTTATTTAACATAAATTATAAGGCACTTTTACTTGTGTATATAGGAAAAATGTGAATAAACTTAATATGATTTTGATCAAATACAAATATAAAAACTGCTCGAGCCAGGCGATAAGATGTGATGGAGACAACTGGTTCTTATCAGCCGTTTTCCACTACCAACCAGTTGCGACGTCGAGTAGTGACGCCGCCTCCTAAAAACCAGTTGTTCATCCTTTTTGCGGTGATCCGTTACATAGCATAAATTAAGTGCGGTCTTTGTGTTTTATTGCCTATTATAATTCTTTTTGTTTTACAACTAAAAATATCGGTGATCGAAAATATAGATTGTTCGACTGTCTAATATTGCGGTTTTGAAATTATGGTTTTGTTTCACTCTGTTGAGAATTAGCGTATAATTAGCGAGCTGATGCGAGTTCCAACGGCCATTTAGAATAATTTAGGCAATATCGAATTGTAGCGACCTACCGAACATTTGATAGCGTTTTCGAGTCAAACACGAATTGAAGTGAACAATTAGCAGGTTGGATCGATTTACTTTTGTTTGTATAAATATATAAAATTTGTTTGTGTGCATTATTAATTAAGTACGGAGACGCCCGCCTAGTTGAAACGAATGTATAATTTATTATATTATTAATATAGCTTGATATTAATACCAAATAAATATAGTTAAAAAAAACTGAAAAACACGCTTTTAAAACATATCGAACTAAAAAGTTAAAAATAATTTTTAAAATAAGCTTAAAACAATAATGAACGAAAAATACTAGTATTATTGTGAAAAAAGCGTCGGGCGCTCAATATACGAAAAATATGGCACAACCCCCCACGCTTTTTTCACAATAATACTCATATTTTTCGTTCATTATTATTTTAAGCTTATTTTAAATTTTTTAGTTCGATATGCTTTAAAAGCGTGTTTTTCAGTTTTTTTAAACTATATTTATTTTTTACTTTTTAATTTTTTATTATATAGCTGTTACAGTCACAGAGTGTTTATTGTCAATTATCACTATAGATATAATTTCTGTATTGCCATTTAGTGTGTTTATAAACTCAAAACAATGTATCTTATTATCATTGATAATAAAGGCTATATGCTTGCTNCTGTAGCATTTCTGTATTGCCATTTAGTGTGTTTATAAACTCAAAACAATGTATCTTATTATCATTGATAATAAAGGCTATATGCTTGCTAATATCGTCATAAAAAACCAATTAGCTACCTGTATTTGTAATCCGTTATGTATTATACATGTATATTAACTCAAAAAAATTTGAATCTTTCAATGTTTATATTTAATAATAAACAATAATAATTTGATTTTATTTATATATAATATTGACGCTATGTACGCATATATGTACGCATATATATAAATAATGGGTGCGAAAACCAAAAATAAAATTTTACAGTAATAGTGTTGTCGTGGTATGGTGAACGGGGTGGGGTGAATGCAAGATAATAACACGTAGCGCGTGGAGAGTTACAAGCATACATACATACAGGTGAAACTAATATAATATTAAAAAGGTATTGTTAAATCTTTGGGTGAATGGCCGGCGGTAATCGTAACAAAAACAGATTTGTCAATTTTGACAACATTTATTATTACAATTTAACTTTTAGATGTGTTTTCTTCATGGTGTTACCACAACTTTTCTCAGACAGGGGTCGGTATGCACTTATATTTTATGTGTTCTATTTGTCAATATCCGGACCATCAAAAAATACTCTACACAATACAGGAGTATTATCAGAATCGCTCACATGTTTACAAGTTTGTAAATATATATTTTAAATAAATCATATGATTTTTAATTTAAATAGCTTCATATAAATTTAATTATGACGTGAGACTGTGTAGAAATCTAGCAAACTTGCATAAAACAATTTAAAATTTATTTATAATTTTTTTGTGGTTTCAAACAATATTTAATATTTTTAATAATGTTTCTTAGAAAAAATTAAATATTCTTTTAGAAAATGATTTATGTTAATCATGTATTGTACATTTTACTAGATGAAAAAAGTATACAAGTGATAATAAAGCAACTCTTTAAATTTTGTAGGACGAGATAAAATCAGTCATTCGGCATATTCAACAAATAATTAAGAAGCCTCTATTAGCTATTCGAACATCAATACTAAAAATAAAATTAGAACTTGCTGTAATGATAGAAAAATTAAAAAAAGGAATGTTAGCAGTCAAAACTACTGTAGGCGGAATAGGTTAGATTATCACAGCATTAAGAATTTTATTTTTAATAAAAGTTTATACTAAAATATTTAGTAATTAGCATGTAAAATTTCTATTCCATCATTTATTTCACGAGTGATTATTAAAAATAAAGTATACTGCACTACCAATGTTAATTAATTTATTAACACAAAACATTGTCTAGTAATTAAAAATTTGTTGACTTTTACATGTTTTCTTTTAATAAAAATTACGATTGCTATTATACATTTATATTTTCAATTACATTAAAAATACGATTTAGATTAAAATTGACATCAATAATGAAAAACATATCTAAAATTTTAACATTGTTTTATATTTTATAGTTCGAACTATTAAATTGGCATATGAATGGTTATATAGCGTTATGAATATGTGTAACAAAAAAATAGGAACTCCTTTTCAGAGATGTACCAAAGTATTTGATAATGCCCTTGAGGACTGTAAAGTATAAACAACAAGCATTTTGTTTGTTATTTCATAAAAATGGTTTGCTAAAAAAATCATTTTGGCATTGATTAAACATTGATCTTTAGGTTTCTGTTCCATCAGCATTTAACTGGATGTGTTCTATATCATTTGTTATATCTCATGTTTGCTACAGTGTAAAATTTCTTGATAGTTTGTGCGAATTTTTTGAGTTTATTAATGAATCAATATTTGGTGCAATACGAGCTAGTTTGTAAAAAAAAATAATAATGTTATTATTATTTCTTACGTAATATTTAACTTATTTAGGTTTAAAAAGTTATGTACGGCACATGAAAAACATGTTTTACGTTTCTGTTGAGTTTAAACACTCTTTTGCATTTGATTCGACACCTAGTAAAATGTCTAGTGACGTTATTCGAGGAGTTATTACAGAATTTAAAAATAGAATAGAAAATGCTGTATTCTTATTTGATTTAGCTGGAACAATTTTTTCATTTTTTTTCTTATACATAATTTTTAAGTATGTTTTTTTAAAGTTAATCTAAATAAATAAAAAAATTAAACAACTATAAATTGGTTTAAGAACTTTACTATACAGACATAAATTTTTAACCTCTGATTCGTTTGATAATAAATATCTCACTGAAGAACTTTACGAATTGGACGAAAGAAAATATATTCTCGAACAACCAACTATCATGCCATTAACTAGATTTGAAAAAAATAGATATATAGAGGTAAATCAAATAGCAATTCAATAATTTTTACAAATTTTTAATTAAGAATTAATAAATTAAAATTAAAATTTTCGTTATATTGGAAGTTTTTAGTTATGAAATAACTACTTTTCATTTAAATGATAAACACCTAAGTCAAATACACATGTGTTCCAAATTTGATAATTATTTACTCACAGTTTCCGAAAAAAATTGTTTTAGTTATCTTTGAATTATAAGAGGAAATTAAATTGTATTTTGATGAATCATAAAACAAATGAGTTTTAGACTTAATTTTATAAGTATTGGTTTCAATTTTGTTGATTAAATTTTTTATTTTTAATCCTCCATTCAGTTGTCCACAAAATTCATTTGTAGCGTATATAATCTGAAATTTTTTAAAAACAAATTTGTTTTCGAAAAGTGGTTGATTCTAAATATATATTTTTCTAAATAAATAGCATAATGTATAATTTTTTATTTAGAGAATGTCCATAAGATTAATACCTAAAGAGAGGAAAATGCTATTTAAATCATTAGCTGTATTGTTACTGACTACGTTTAAAATATGTGTTCAAATGGCTGTTGATTATAGCCTTTACTGGATTCTTATTACAGTTAGGAAATATGGTAGAATTTCTTCTCAATTAGATTGTACGACTTTTACAACTTTTAACATTATAAAAATTATCAACTCATAATGAAAAATGTAGCCCCTAGCGTGCTTGATGTAAATATTGAAGGTGATGGAATATTGGCAGACTTGTACAAAACTATTATACATACTTTTCGACCAATTGCTGATAAAATGGATATGGATACAATGAAATGTTTACCTAATCCTTTGACACCTGATTTTTATCGTTACCGGCAAATTTGTAAGAGCTAAAGATTTGTGTAATTTTCTCTTGTTCATAATACAAGTGAAACACATTCCACGCCTATCAAAATTAACTTATGCGAACTATTTTAGTTAGTCCTCATTTCTTTTTATTAAATTTTATAGCAATTACAAAATTGTATACAAAATTGCTATTATGATGTACTATTTTTACCTTTCAATTCAAGAAGCACTGTTTCCGTTCAATTTTTTCTGGTATTCTTAAATTTATACAGAAGTGTTTTAGATTAAACGTGTTAATAGCTTTAGTCGTCATATTAACATATGACTGCACTTCTCTTATGCCTCCGATTAAGTCCGAGCAAAAGTGGTTATTTTTCAGCTTCCTTAATTGCTAATCATTGAATTTTTCAAGGAGTTTGCTTATTGCCTCTTTAACCAATGTTATTTATAAGTGTAAAACAATTTGATGTGAAATAATTTTTTTTTCATTATTAAAAAAACTTATAATAAAAATATATAATATTTTTAAAATTAATTAAATAATATTATTGATTTAAAGGTGTTGTTTTACTTTTGCTTTGGTTCTTAGCTCTCATTCAACCGTATGGTTTACGATTTCGATCTTACGTAATGGGTTATTATCATCCTGACATTGCCATGACTAGAGCAGTATGGCTTCATAATCGTGTGCTTCGCAGAAGAATCAGCTTTGTTACATTTGCTCGACGATTTTTGCGAAGAAAATTCGGATTGAGTGAAACCGTAAATAATTCTACAAATCCATCGTGTTTAGATTATATGTATTCAAAGTCAGTATAATACAATATCACCAATATACTAACTAACTAACTAATAATAAAACCATGTATTTTTTATTTGTGGCGAGTAAGCTTTTAGTGAAATATCTTTCTTGTTGTTATAAGATTTCCCTTTTTTGAACATATATGGCGTCGAAATAAACAATACGTTTGCCTTTTGTGTGGTTATAAGGCTAAAGGTAATGATTTTAAAACAGGCAATATGATAAAATGTTTCAACGAAGGATGTAAAGGCATATATTGCCACAAATGCTTTGCTGATATAGATAATCGTTGTACGTTATGTAAAAAACCTATAGATTATGGAGACATGACAGATATCAGTGAAGAAAAGTATGCATTTTATTTTAAAGTTCTACATAATTACTAATACATATAGTTTATTAAAAAAATTAAAAATGTATGTACCAACATAATTTCTAGAGATAGTTCAGATGAAAAACAAAACTTAATAGTTGGTAATTTTTCTAGAAGAAAAAAGAATTTTTGGAAAGTGAAAAATCAAATTGTTTCGTATAGCTTAAGTAAAAAGTCTTTACTTCATCATAGAGGAGATTCAGGAGATGAGGGTGACGATGAAAGTATATTTAATTATTTAAATTTTAATGCCTTTTTAAATTTAATTGTTAATTAAATTAAAAGGTTCTAGTGATGATTCGATTCACACAAGTAGTACTGAATCCAATTCATATGAAAATAATCCAAATTATGTTAATGCTCCGTTAAATTGCGTATCAATGATTTTGTACAGTAAAAATAGCTCTAGACAAGAATACTTAGTCTAAGTATTTAAAAAGTCTATAGTTATAGTTCAAGTATTAACTAATATAGTTATTATCAATTAAAATATTTACAAATATATAAATAAGTTCTATAATTTTCTTTTTTTTTTTTAATTAAATAAAACACAACCCTATTTTTTCAGTCCTACAGTAGTTAATAATAAGTTTTATAGAATTCTTTATCATTTTGTATTAAAAAGAATGTTTATTTTTTACTTTATACTTAATAATGATACTGTCCGTCCCAAACAATGAAAAATATTTTATAAATATTAGGTTGGGTTGAGTTCTTATATCAGATATTATATCAGAAAAAAATAATTATTTGCTATTGTTTTTATCGATGGTTGATTCCTAAAAAAGTTGTTGAGAAATGTCTTCTATTTTCGTATGCTCCACAGTACAATAGTTCATACTCACAAAAGTACTAGAATTTAAAACTAAGAAAAAACACTTCATTAAAAGCTATCTGGAAAGGATAACTGAACATACACAGATAAAATTAAATTCAATAATGACACAGTGAATTATTACAAAATATTCTATAATTCACTTTATTTCCAGAATACAATAAAATATTGAATTTTACGAACATCCCACTGTCGAAGAACTATTCTACATATCATTTTAATTCTATATTATATACTTAGGTCAATGCATTTTGGAATATTTACAAATAAGGTTCTTAAATTACGAATGTTAGTCTTAAATATCTAGTCTTACACCTAGGGAGTTAATTTTGTTAGTATTTGTTTTTCAATTACCCTTCTGTTCATCTTTACAGAAAGTACGGGCGTATATGTAATAATACAACACAAATTATGGTCAATTATAGCTCTGTGTTCGCTTCTTGTTTCCTCTGGAAATAATTAACCGTTTTTTACGTTTTTAAGCTTGTTAAGTTTATAAAAAGTGCGCGAATGACTGGTGTCGTTGTTGAGTCAGTCTTCCTACTATCTCTTCACTTNTGGCCGTCTAATATTATTTTGGAGCAATGCTTCATTCTACTATTGACTCTCATGACGTGTGTTACATATTATTTCATTGATAAAGCCGATAAAACGAATATAATAAGTAGTATATAAATAGCGGGTACGGGCCCTCAAAAGTGCCGACAAATGACGTAATCTATTGTTCTCGGGATAACAATGGGTGTACAGGTGTGCAGTGGTACGGGCTTTCAAAGGTGCCGACTAATTACGTCATCTATTACCCCCGGGGAAATGTGCAATGGGTGCACAGCTGAGATGCATTCCGTCATGGTGACGTCACACCTGACCTACCGTAACCCCCCTGGCCACGGCACCCGTGGGGACGCATCCAAGTGCAGCTCGTGACGTAATACCCCTGGTTGACGACGTCATATCATTAACCTAAGGGGTAAGCCGTTATGACGTCATACCTGAACCTACTACAGTTTGCTCATTACATTACAGCCTTATGACATCACGCTAACGTAACTCTATGCTATGATAAGGTGAGCCCAATGACGTGCCCTATCACGCCGTGATTGTGCCGTCGGCAATGACGCTGTCATGTACGACCCTATACCCTACGACTACAACGTCGGGCGGTGCTTCATCGATCAGCGCAAAGGCTCCCTAACTCTATCGTCATGGATACCACTATCGACAAGTCGATGTCGGGTTGATCAAAAAAAAAAAAAAAATTCATTTTCCAGAGTACCTACGCGCAAACGGTTAAACTTGTGTAGAGTACGCGTCGAGTCCGCGCGTTTGATGTGTCACAACCCTATATACCGGCGTGCCAATTCACCCCGACGCTGTCGTTTAAGTTTAAGTCGATGTTTCGTAAATGATGAATACATAATTTTGACGTCATCGGGTTGCAACTCGATTTGTACGGGCGAATACTTCATTTCTATTATAAACTATTAGGATCCGCCGTCCAGCTATATTATTTGATAGTGTTCAACGGTTTGTATAAACGGAATGTAACATGAACTTATTAAATTAAAATTATTAAAAATTAAATATAAACATATAGTTTTAGTATAAATGTATATGCTATTATTGTAATAAGTAAAGGATGTAGTCAGGTGATTATGGAAAACAATATCTAGTAAACTAGAAAAGTTATTAACTTAGTAGGTAACATTGACGGTTAACTCAAATACAGAAATGTGTCGTAATATACTCAGCACTATCATAATATGAAATAACAGTGGGCTGCTCTGTTTGTGTCCAAAGCAATGGTCGTTCATTTAAGATTATAAATAATTTTATTTATAAATTATATATACTCATAAGCTTAGAATAACATGATTGATTTTCTTTAAGATATTCATAAACTATACTTGTCAGCTCTTTTTACTATTATCTTAATAATAAAACACAATATGTAAAACACACAATGTGATAAAAACAAACTATTTTAACGTCATATAAAATATCAAAATGATTTGTATATTATTCGAATGTATTAATTTATATATTTTAAGTATTAATTTATATATTCTGTCTTGAGATTTGATCTAAATGCATATTGATTCTGATACTAATAATTTGCAACTATTACGTACTTATATAAAGTATAATGTATATTATCATTCAGGGAACATATTGTAGGGAATATTATTTCAAACGTGATAAAATCATTGAGGGCGTGTAAATTGTTAATATCGGATATGTAAAGTGCACACTCGTGTTCCTTAAATTTATGTATAGTATAAAAAAATTGCTTATTAGTAAACCGAATAGTAATTAATACACACACGATTTTCTGAAAAAATTTTATATTTAGTATAAATGCATATTTAATATCATTAAATAAAGAAGGTAGTCATTATTAGCTTCGATGCGAAGCGGAGAAGGTATTAATTTTACTATGATTTTTTTTTTTTTTCTTTTTTTTTTTTTTTTATGTCTGTTGCCACTTTTTCTCAGCTCTCACTGGACCGATTTCTTTCAAAAATACGTCAAAAGATCACAAATCGTATCTAGTTGAAGACATTACCCTTAAAAATTGAAAAAAATTCCCTCGTTCCCCGCAAATGGGGGAAATATCCAAAAAAATTACAAATTTAAAAATCGCTAAATTTAAGTGAAAGATATTTAAGCTCATCTCCATACCAAAATAAAAGTGCCGTTATTAATATTGGTAACCAATATTGTATCGCTTGAATTATTTTACCACAAAAACGTCAAAATGATTTGAGCAATGATGGAGACTTTGGATACCTAATTTATATAAAGATTGACGAGACTGTTGAATATTATATCATTCAGAAACTTTACTAACTAATGAACGTAGTATCGTCAATGTCATTGAAATGAATAACTATTAACTAACATTGAGATAATATAGGTAATACTTCAAAATCGGTATATTAGTCATTTATGACAGAGTGGCTTTATAACAAATCCTTGCACATATTACTTATTATTAATCTGTGTAGTTATTATTTTTATTTAGTAAAAAATATATTTATTTAACTATAGTAATGCTCTACTAATGACATACTATTAGCTTCGATACGAAGCGGAGAAGGTATTAATTTTACTATGATGTGTTTTTTTTTTTTTTTATGTCTGTTGCCACTTTTTCTCAGCTCTCACTGGACCGATTTCTTTCAAAAATACGTCAAAAGATCACAAATCGTATCTAGTTGAAGACATTACCCTTAAAAATTGAAAAAAATTCCCTCGTTCCCCGCAAATGGGGGAAATATCCAAAAAAATTACAAATTTAAAAATCGCTAATTTTTGAAATTTTTTCACTTTTTTTTCTTAAAACTTCCATAACTTTTTGAAAAATCAACAAATCAACATAATTTTTTTTTATACTAAAACCTTAGATATTTATCTTTCATTTTATATTATTTTTTTGAAAATCTATCATTTAACCTGCTCATTAGGGGGGATTTAAAGTAGCAACTTTTTTACAAAAATTAACTTTTTCAACTTAATTTTTGAAAATGTTCCGGAAATACTGCGTCCTTCAAACATATATCAAATTAAAGCTTATTTTATGTTCTACAAAATGAAAAAAAAAAATTTGTCCCGACACTTTTTCTTCTACATTTAAACGGCTGCCGTAGTTAAAAAAACGCTATTTTTGCGTTAAAATTTTAGATTTTCGATTTTTAATTTTCAACTTAAAAATGCTATAACTTTTTGAAAAATGTATGTATCAGCACAATTTTTTTTTTTCTAAATACATTATAAGTACATCTTTCATCTGAAATACATTTTATTAAAATTAGACAATTTCCCCTTATATAGGGGGCGTTCAAAACTTGAAATATTGTAAAAAACATAGATCTTTTTCAACTGAACTTTTGAAAGTGTTCCGGAAATACTGCGTCCTTTAAACATATATAAAATTAAAGCTTATTATATGTACTATAAAATAAAAAAAAAAAATTTGTCCCGACGATCTATCTTCTATGTGCAAATGGCTGTCGAAAATTAAAAAAAAATGTAATGATTGCGATAAAAATTACCTTTTATCGGGATGTTTTTTGTGCTTAAAACTGCCATAACTTTTTCAAAAATTAACAAATAAAAATAATATTTTTTTGTATTAAAACCTTAGATATTTCCCTTTCATTTGATATAATTTTTTTTGGAAATCTACCACTTATTCTGTTCACTGGGGGGATTTAAAATAGTAACTTTTTTACAAAAAATAACTTTTTCAACTTAATTTTTGAAAATGTTCCGGAAATACTGCGTCCTTTAAACATATATCAAATTAAAGCTTATTTTATGTACTACAAAATGAAAACAAAAAATTTGTCCCGACGATCTATCTTCTATACGCAAACGGCTACCGTATTCAAAAATATGCTATTTTAACAAATTTTTTTTTAAAATGAAATACTATCTACAGATTTGCATCGAAGCGTTTCTTATGATAGTGATTTAAATCACTGTCAAATATCATCTATACTTGTCCCATCTATGCCTTGTCTACACTGTGCCTCGACCCCACTGTGCTACCTCTTTTATTAATAATATGTTTGTATAAACATATTATTTTTTCTTGTTTAGGATATAATGTTTGTGGATTATACTGCTCAGCGGTTAATAGCAAACAGCCTAGATTTAAACTCTCTAAACAAAAACAAACAAAAATTTGTCAATTTCAACACTCGTTTAAAAACTTTTGATATTGGATTGTGTGTTTTAGTAGTCCACACGTATAAGTGAATCGGTATGCGAAAAATATA